GGCGGAGAAGGGCCCCCCCGGAGAGCAGGGGGGGTGCAGGGGTGGGGCGGGGTTGCCGGTTGGGTTCTCCGGCGGGGGGGTGGGGGGCGGGGGGGGGAGCTTTTCCTGCTGGTGATATTTGACCTCCGCCCGGAAGCTCATTCCTGGCTCCTGCTGACTTGGGGCATCTGTTCTGGACTGAGGCCCCAGCGGGGAAATGGCCTGGAGCAAGCCCTGCCTTGGGGTCGGGTAGCTCAGGGTCCCAATGTTTCTGCACCTCCTTCTCAGGGGATCTTCATCTCCCGGATTGCAGAGGGAGGGGCTGCGGATCGGGAAGGAACGCTGCAAGTGGGCGACAGGGTCATCCTGGTGAGAGGAGGGGACCCGGTGGGCTGGGCTCCCTATTCTCCGTTGGGCCCAGAGTGCCCTGGCGGGGCGTCCCTCTTTAGATGTTCGGGAAAGGCTGTCTTCGTGAGGTCTCTCTCTCTGGCTGAGTGGGAGAGCAGCTTCTCTCGACCCCCATCCTCCTACGCGGCCCGTTCTTTCCCCTGCCCCACAGCCATGGTGAGAATGCAGGCTTAGGGGAGTAAGCCCCGAGACAGCCTCGTCAGCGCCGGCTTCCGTCTGCCTCCCTGCCCCCCGTGTGGTCTCTTTCCTGCTGGGGGGGTGTTCCCTTTCCTCCCCTCCCCTGCCCCAAGCAGCGGCAGAGGGGAGAGGGCGGGCCCTAGAGAGTTCTTCCCCCGTGAGCTGCTGGGGGGTGGCACAGAGCTGTCTCCATTCTTGTGCCCAAAGCCTGTCTTCTCCCCTCTTTGTCTGCTGGAGCTGGCTCTGCCCCCTGACACTGATCTGGGGCCTTTGTAGATCAATGGGGTAGACATGACGGAAGCCAGGCACGATCAGGCTGTAGCGCTGCTTACTGCCTCCCCACCCACCATCGCTCTGCTGGTAGAAAGAGGGGCAGCTGCTGCTCCACCCCAAGAGAAAGACCTTCCCGCAGGGCCACGAGTGCCACGGGCCCCCTCGCCGCCGCCTCTGCCCCACCAAGGAGAGAGCCCGCTGGAGGAGGTGCCTCTGCCCCCCAGGAGCCAGCTGCCTCAAACCATGGAGAACCAGTACCCCACCGAGGTGGGTGAGCCGGGGCCTCTGGGGTTGCTTCGTACCTTGGGCCGGCAGGGGGCCCTGGAGGCTCGTGCCTCTGCGGCCGCTCGTCCTGAGGTGGAATTGGGTTCCCTCCCTCCCCTGGGGGTTGGGAATGTGGGCAGCTTGGCCGGAGTTGCCCTCACCACGCCGTCCAGGCTCCGTGTGTGCCCCAGCCAGCTGCTTCTGAGGAGCATCTCCATCAGTCCTCCTCGAACGCTCTGGAACTCGGTCTGTCTGCCTGCAGGAGGTGTGCCTGGTCAAGGCTGGGGGGCCCCTTGGTCTTAGCATCGTGGGAGGCAGTGACCACTCCAGCCACCCCTTTGGGATCCACGAGCCTGGAGTCTTCATTTCCAAGGTAGAAGTGCTAGGCCACCACCTTTCTAGTCTCATGCATCAGGGTGCTCAGAGGAAGAGCCATGGGGGGGGGGCAGGGCGCTGGGCAAAGGAGGGCTCTGTGCATCTGAAGACCTGAGCTCTCGCTGCTCCCTGGAGAGGGGAAGGGGCTGGTGAGGTGCTTGAGCCCAGCTCGGACTATCCTGCAGATCCTCCCCCTATTTCCCTTCGTTCCCCCTTTGGCAGGTCATTCCACGTGGTCTGGCCTCTCGTAGTGGACTGCGTGTGGGTGACAGGATCCTGGAGGTGAACGGGATTGATCTCCGCCACGCAACCCACCAGGAAGCTGTGAGCGCTCTGCTCTCCAGCACCCAGGAACTGAAGATGATGGTCAGGCGAGATCCTCCCCCGCCTGGAATGGAGGTAGGGGTGTGGCTGATGGCTTGCCTCTGCGCTCCTGCAGGGGCGCCCTCTGCTTTTGACGCTCCTGTCAACACACACACACACACACACACACACACACACACGATAGGACCAGGATTGGCAAGGGAAGTGAATTAAGAAGAGCAGAATGAAATTCCGCAGAGAATAAGTGAACCCAGCTGCTGACTTCGCTTAGGAGGCCCGCCCAAAGAAAGAAGCTACGTTCTGGCCTCAGGTGAAGATGGCCTGGTTCACACCACCTGCTAATTCACATAGGGCAGGTCTCCCACACAGCCATGGTTTGAGGTTCTCTCCCTGTTAGGCATCCCTACCCTTATCTCCCCCTCAGGGAATATTAGAACAGCAGGCAGAAGGGCCCCCATTCAGTCCCTGGCAGCTGACCTAGTCAGAGCTGGAGAACCTTGTTTGCCCCCCCGGCCCATTCTGAGCGGCCCCAGGGATCGCCCCACAAGACGTTGGTGTCTTGTGTTGGCAGGAGATCTGCATTGAAAAGAAGCCTGGAGAAAAATTGGGCATCAGCATCCGAGGGGGCGCCAAGGGCCACGCGGGGAACCCCTTTGATCCCACCGACGAGGGGATCTTCATCTCGAAGGTACTACAGGGCCCTTGCTGCTTTGTCCTGGGGCAGGGCGTGCGGGGCAGAAGAGGGTTTTTAGGAGGAGCGCTTCTTGCTTCCCTGCGTAATATAGAACCATACCTTGACTAGGGTTGTTTTTGCTGGAGTGGACTAAATGCGGCTAAAGTAGCAGGGCGCCCCCAAGCCCCAAAGCAGCATGAGGGACAAGCCCCCTGATCTGACCAAGGATGGTCTTCCTGAGAGGCAGGGTCTCCCGGGTCAGCTGCCGCCCCTGCTCGGCTGGGGTGAGCCCTGGCGGAGAAGCAGGCAGGGTGGCTGCCGCCGCCGCCACTGCCCCCACTTCCACCTTCCTGCTTCCCATGCCGTTTAGGTCAGCTCCACCGGGGCAGCGGCCCGCGACGGCCGGCTGAGGATGGGCATGCGCGTCTTGGAGGTGAACCACCAGAGCCTGCTGGGCATGACTCACACAGAAGCTGTCCAGGTCCTTCGTGCCGCAGGAGACCTGCTGCTGGTGCTCGTTTGCGAAGGGTTTGACCCCAAAGCCGTGGCTGCTCTTGAGGTTGGTGGCTGCTTGGTCCCGTGCACTGGCACATCCCGCCCTCCTCCGTCTGTAGTCAGCTGAGGCGCTCTCTGGCCGAGCCTGTTTCTCAGCAGATCAGAGGGCGGTCCCTGGTCTGACCGGGTTGAAAGCGCCCCTTCTTCATCCTCCTTCCCATAGATGTCTCCTGGGATCATCGCCAACCCTTTTGCAGCCGGCATCGGGCGCAAGAATAGCTTGGAGAGCATCTCGTCCATTGACCGGGACCTCAGTCCAGAAGAAGCAGATCTTCTTCAGAAGGTGAGAGGAATGGGGCTGCTCGGGGACGTCCTTCCCAAGGAATGTGCTGCCCGTCGCCTTTGGCCCCTCTGGATGGAGATGGTGAGGGAGACCACCGAGTGGGAGGGGGAGGTGGTGAGACTCTAGGACAGGGCAAGGGACTCGAAGGCCCTCATTTCTGGGAGGCAGCGGCAGCACCCCCTGCCCCAGCTCCTTGGAGCCCTTGTGCTGCTGCTAGACCCTCCTTCTGCTCAGAGCGCTTGCCCCCCCTCAGCCTTGTGCTTGCGGTCGGTTCTCAAATCGTGGTTGTGAGGCAGGGGGAGGGTCTCATGGAGAGGAGATGTCCTTTGGACCAGGGTCTGAGCCTCCCGCAGGAACCCTCCATCTGGTCGGGTCAGGAGTGGGCTGTTTCGACTCTTGACTGTGACGTTAGTGGGCACGTCCCAAGCTGCAGCGTGGACAGGGTCAGGCCCCGTGCTTTCTTCGCTGCATGGCTTGAGGACCAGAGGCGGGGGTGTTTGGGGGGCCAAACTTGGCCGGCGGTTCTTCTGTAGAACTTCAGCTGCAATGCTGAGCAGTGGGCTCTTCCTGGCCAGTGGCATTTCTGGAAGGGGGAAGGGGGGAGGGGGGAGGCGCTCTCAATGGCGGCTGCTGCTGCTGCTCCAGGAGGAGCTGGAGGGCTGTTTCTGGCGAGTGCGGGCGGAGAGGTCTGAGCCCTTTTGGTGCCTGTCTTCCTCCCGGAGGTGTCTGGCGGCCACTGTGGGAGCAGAAGGGTGGGCTGAATGGGAAGAGGCTGGCAAGGGTCTTCTGAGAAGGCACCATCCCTTCTTCAGGCCTGATGTCATGGCTGGGCTGCTTTGCATTTTTTGAATTGTTGCCTTTAAATGTGGCGTGGCATTCTGCTTAAGAAAAAAGGAGAAAAATTTCTCCCAGCCAGCTTCCTCCCCATCTTTTTTGCCAAGACCGCCAAATCTTGTCACTTTTCCTTAAAGGCCAGTTGATTGTTCTGTTTGCCCAGTTTTGCAGTTTTTTCTAAGCAGGAGGAGCGAGTTGTATTTTTGGGTTAATTACAACATTTCTCTACTGCTCTTCATTGGAGAGCAATCAAAATAGCTTCCAAAGCAGTTGTAACAAACACAATAGAAACGGGATATAGATTACCATTGTCGGTGCTAAAAAGAGAAGAACTAGGGCCAGCCTCAATTCCCCATAAAAAGACTTTCCTTGCAGGGAAGAGACATTGGGCAAGCCAGAGTGGCTAGGGCAGTGTTCTGCCAAGCAGGGTTAGGGTTAGGGTTAGGGTTCCAGGCTGTGGCCTAGAAGCAGGCAACTCCCGAGAGAACGTGGTCCTGAGCTGTTTGGGGGCCATCTGTGCCAATCTCTGGGCCGCGGACCGGCACCAGTCTGTGGCCTGTTAGAAACCCAGCCGCAGAGCAGGAGCGAGTGGCGAGCG